TATATAATGTATTATATGAAACAATGGTTTCAAAGCTTAATTAGGTTTCAAATGACAAAGAATAGTTAAGACTGATAGGCACAACATAGCGTTGGCAATTCAATATTGACAGGCAGCTAGCTCTTTCTTCTCTCATAAATGGGGAAAGAAATCCAATAAAAAAAAAAGTTGAAATAAGGCAGGTTGCTAGGACTTCATAAATAATAAAACTGGTGAGTTCCAATGGAATAAGGGAATTTGGTTTTCTTTCTCCAGCTAATACCCCACAGGGAGGGTTTACGGAGAAAGGACCACTCTGTCAGAGCAATCTAAATCATTCATAACAACATTTCCAGTAGCTTCTTTTGCTTGTCCAAGTAAAAATGGTTTCGCTGAAAATTCAAGACTGCCAAAACCAAATGCCAGAAGTTCACCTCTGGCCACAGCGTGGGGGTAGAGTACAATTGGCTGCATGCTGTTTGCCACAGCAGAAAGTTGCTTAGGCGATTCTCACCTGCTGTCCTTACCACAATATCAGGATGAGGTGCGATTGCCATGTACATATGCTTCTCAATGTCCACAACTTCTACAGGTTTTGTTAAACCATAATTCTCATCGGTTTTCTTCGGTTCTTGCATTGCTCGCCGCCTTTCATCACAAGCTTCTCGGATGGCACTCACCATTTCATCAGTGGAAGTATAAGCAACGCAAAATGTGAAGACAGCTTTAGAGTTGTTCACCGTGTTTGCCATTAATTCCTTGGCTGCGTTCTTGACAGGTTCACTTAAGAGGTCCAGGTTGCCCGCAAAATGGAATTTGACACTGTAGAGGTTTGCTATGCTGTTCTTTTCACTTAATAGCTCAAATGTAAACTTAAGCAAGTCCATGACGCGCTCAACTTCTTCAGGCTTTCGCTTGAAATTGTCAATGCTGAAGGCATAAACTGTTACGTATCTTATACCCAGGTCGCAGCAGTGCATGAGCATTGTCAACATAACCAGTATGCCTATACTGTGCCCTGTCCCCTTTGCCAGGTTCAACTTTTGATCATATCTTCGATTTCCATTCATGATGAAGGCTACGTGAGTGGGGATTGGACCAACTTGAAGGACCTTACATACGCCTTTTCGAAACAAATTGCTTAGTTTCTGGTGTACTGATCTCACTTTACTAAAATTATTCATCCTCGACTCCAGCTTTAATTTAGTAAAAGCAGACGTTCTATATTATGAACACGAGAGCATCTAGGTATCAAGAGTCATTGGACAGACAGAAAATACTCAAGAGCACAAGAGCGTGAAGGCAAAAGAAAAAAAAAAGGTCTAATTTTAATTAAAAAGCATCTGCATTTTGGGAGATTGGTCTTGCTCTACTAATGGAAAGGTTTCCCTATACCAAATTCTGATTATACAAGACTAATGGACAAAGACACAGGCGAAGGAAGAGAGGAAAATTTTCTCCAACAGAGAAAGAAATACTCTACTGCATCAATTAATCAGATAGCATAAGAGAACCCCGAAAGAAATGAAATAAAAAAATACAGAAAACTTATTCCATGGGTCTCTTATACAACAAGATCAGTTGATAGAGGGATCAATAAAAGGGCTTAAAAGTGAAACAACTTAGAAGGAAAACAATACAACTATCTAAAGACGATCTCCCATGGCTCATAAGCAGATAAATCGAGGTTTTTGCTATGCAGGTTAAAGTAACAGTAAACATTTACCTGAAAACCAGAGGAGAAAACTGGAGTCAAAACCCACCAACTACGAAGTTCCACCACCAAAAAATAAATTCCTGAAGGGCATGGTACCCACCATTTGGAATTGCTTGGCATGTTTTTATCAAAACCAGTTCACAGCTCAACTTGTTGATTATTTTACAGAGATGTCAGTACCAGCCCCGTGATTGGCGTTGGTAAGCGTGATAACTGGGGGGGTTTTGATTTGAATATTTTGTCAGGTTCAGATTTGTTAGTCCAATTTTGCTGCATTTTTTGTCTTTGAAGTGGGCTACTTGGTGCCACTGCCATGGGCACGGTTTCATTATAATAAGCAGAAAATCTTCCAGGCCCCGATTCGGACTAATTTTTTTAAATCCAGGAGATATTGTGTATGAGAATTTTGTAATCAAATTTAGAAAACAGTTTACAATGGTTTTCGTCTCAAAAATCGAATTATTAGGTAAATTTTGTTGCTTATAGCTCCTTTACAACGCCAACCAAAGCAACTACTGCTTCTTATATTATAACATGACCTGTCAAGCTCCACTTAATCTGCCAGAGACTAGTTAAAATGGAATGTCACAAATCCAAGAACCTATCCCTTTCTGATAACAAGACTGATTCACAGAGTGGTAGCTGGCAAGTGTCATCGGAAAAACTTACATATGTTAGCAAGCCCCTGCAAAAGTCATGGACGTGTAAACGTAATTTACCTTAAGATCAGAGCATATGCTAATTAACCGACCATTGCTTCAGGGCTAACTCAGAAAGGGATTCTCAGTTACATGCAGCACATGCAATCCTGAGGAGTGACAAGGTTAATTGCTCAGCTGCAAAGGTAACACCCTTCTCTTTGTTATTTACAATTTTTAAGCAATAAAACAGAATGACAAAAGTACTTTTACAGCGCCGAGGTAGGCAGGAGACCGCAGGGCTGCCTAGTACAAAAAGGAGAAGAAGGATTTATCAGACTAGCTGTAGCTGACCGTGCCAGTTTTATTTGGAATGGAAGATGGAACAGCGAATAACAGCAAGCACTGTAAGAAACGGTACATACAGAAAAGTTTCCTACAATTCTCTGGATTCACCAAAGCCTGTTATTCTACCTCATGTGTCGTATCACCGCTGAGACAAAGCCTTCAAACTTGTTTATCACTTAAATGCTTACAAAACAACAAGCAATAATACTACTCAACGGCCAAAATCTAAAAAAACTTAAGCAGGTCTCATCATTGGGACCCCATTACGCTGTTCAGTTTTCCTTTCTAATATTGAGATTGAAAAACGCAGGGATTTGCGGTGTAAAAGAGCACAATATTGCACATTAAACTATTCTAACAAGATATCAAGCACAACATGCTGCACTTACTGAATAATTACAATTTAATTACTACCACATCCATATGTCCAACATAACTCACACTGCAAAAATTACACTCGATGAAGATTCTAAAAAAAATACAAAAATAAAGAAATAGGAAATGTCTTTGAAACAGTTAACATGTTAATGCTGAGACCTGTAACCAATTGGACAAATGTGCCAACTCACCTCACCCGAGGTGGGTTCTGATATGCACGACCTGCTTCATGCTTTGGAGCAAGTGGTGATTGATGCTGTAATGGCTGCTGGCCATGTCTGCGAGTTTTGTGACGTGCAGAACGAGTTCTTGGCTCTTTTGGCTTTTCATTTGCAGATTCAATCTGTTCCAAAGTCTCTACAACTTCTTTCATTGATGGACGGTGTTTAGGTTCAGGTGCAAGACAGTATAAAGCAAGATGGGCTATTCGAAATGCAGCTTTCGAAGGATATTTACCCTCCAACCGATGGTCCATTATGCTCTTCAGTTTTCTTCTCTCAGATAAATATGGCTTTACCCAATCCACCAGATTATGTTGCCCGCTTGGTCGGTTTGGATCAAGTGCTCGCAAGCCTGTTAATATTTCAACTAAAACAACACCAAAACCGTACACGTCGCTCTTTACATATAAGTGTCCTGTTTAGTCAGCAAAGTGTTCAAGTCATTAAAAGTACAAAGTGGGTTTTGCTCAATTATTGTCTCAAAAATGCCACAATATGGTGCAAAGCAAGGACATCACTTATAAAAGCACCCAAAATTTAGAAAGGTGTCAGAGGATTACCTGTAGCAACGTATTCTGGAGCTGCATAACCATATGTACCCATGACCCTTGTTGTTACATGTGATTGGCTAGCTGAAGGACCAAATTTGGCCAACCCAAAATCTGATATCTTGGCAGTATAAGACTGCAATGGAAATAGCCAAACCATGTTAAATTTATGTTTCCTCTGTGTGTTTTCAAGGAGAATGTTCTATGTTAATGCCTTCAATCCCACAAAAAAGAGGCCTTCCAGCTACTATAAATTTGTTATCACTAAATATTATATTCGCTAAAGCGTATTATATCTATGTTTCCTCTGTGTGTTACCAAGGAGAATGTTCTATGTAATCAATTATTTGAGCCTTTAATCCAAGATAAAGAGCCTTTCTGGCTACTATAAATTTGTTATCACTAAATATATATAATACCATCCCTTAAAGAATTCCCTGTGGTATGATTCATGAGTTGTATAGAAAGTTACCCCATCAAGCAGTATATTTGATGCTTTGAAATCTCTGTAAATTACTTGCTTGTCTGATGTGTGCAAGAAAGAAAGGCCCTTCGCTGCTCCTATTGCAATTTTGAGCCGTATATTCCAGTCAAGTGCTTGAACACTAGCACCCCCTGGATAACAAATATTGTGTAGAGTGTGATCAACCAAATTAACTCACTAGAAATAGGAGATGGCAAGCATGCACAAATGAATATATGCTCACATGAGAAATCAGAGATATAAAAGACTAAAAGCTCTTACTTCCAAAGAGATGGTTTTCCAAGCTGCCCTTCTGCATAAACTCATAAACAAGAAGAAGCTCTTTATCCTCCCAACAGTATCCCAGCAGCCTTACAAGGTGAGGATGATACAACCTTCCCAAGAAATTTACCTCTGACTGCACCAATGAATGAAGAAGCAAATGTCTTAGCAACTTTAAATTTGTAGACATTTTAATATTCAAAGAAAATGAATAAAACAAATGCTAAACAATTCCCAAAAAGCAGGTTCGGATATCTATGCTGTCAATGTATGCCACGAACACACACACACACACACACACAAACACAAAGGAGTTTTGAAGGTCTGTAACAAGTAGAAGCCAAAAGAACCAACTCAAAATGACATGGAACAATATATCTGATGTAATACGATATTGCATATGTAAAAGTCTTGGACCCACATATTTTCTCTGAGGCTTCAGTTGGGCAGCAAACTGGTATCTTATCATTTCAAATCCAGAAAACAACCTAGTCATGTCTAGGTCATTCACACACAGATAAGAGGAACAAAATGTACAATGAAACTCTTACAGTCTTACACCTTATAATACAAAAAGAGCTACCTTTCACTTCGAACACTCTGTTCCAAAAATAGCAATGTAAAGCATAATGAGATGGCTTCACCCTCAAGAATTATTCACGTCTCAGCCTCTTTACTTTGCTCAAACAAGCCCTGAACTCTCAAGACTTCATTTGGATTGCAATTAGCAGAATACTTCTACTGCATGTTGTTTCTTCAATCAGGTAATGAATGACTACTTAGATAAGTAAAGGTTTTACTTGAGGCACTGCAATTGTGCTCATGAGAAGCTGATGTCTTACATCCATGAAACTTTATGTTTGGAGAAATCCCAGGGAAATAATTATAGAAGAAAAATCAAGTAACTATATCTTAAAACAACATTTAAGTTTCTCGATTGGTTAATTCTTTCTCAAGTTAATGAAATCACCTGCCATTCCTGAAATCCTTGCAGGCTCTCAGAGTTCAGTTTTTTGACAGCAATGAGGTTTCCACTTCCACTCTTCCCCGGTGCCTTCTCATCAAGCCAACCTTTGAAGACTTTACCAAAGCCTCCCTCCCCAAGCACCATATCAGGCCTAAAATTCTTAGTTGCAGCCTTCAGTTCTGCAAAACTGAAGATCCTTAGATTAGGAGTGGGCAAGATCTGCCCATTTGGAAACACCTCATCTCCACTCAAGGCTGAGAATCCGCTGCCCCTGGAGATATTACTGCCCCTAGAAGTTCCAGAGGATGCTGTGTTGCTGGTTGTCTGAGATGTCACTATTGCCAATCAAAAATGAAGTTTGCTTAACAAATGCTGGTTGTGAATTGGTCAACATATGGAGTTTTGATACTAATCATACGGCAAATGAATTACATATAAAATGAGAATTGAAGAAACTCAAAGTGTATAATGTTCAAAAACACAAAATGCAGATGAGAAATTCAACAGGATGACCAATATTCCAAAACCACACAAGTCAATGGTCAAAACACCACACAAAACCAAACCAGCATCAAGAACTGGGTTTTCGGTGCTGAAATACAAAAAGAATATGAATTGTTTCAAATAAAATTCCAACTAACAATTAGAACTAGATTGAACCCACTTCAAAATAAGGCAATCTAATCGAAAAACCGAGCAAACAATCTCGTTTAAAGAAACAGCAAAAAAAAAAAAAAGATTACTATCTTTCGAAGGGTACCTGAACTGAGATGACCAGTCGTGCTCGGTGTTGGATTATCAGCTGGAGAACCCCAACAGATTCCCATCCTGAAAAGACTCTTTTTCCTATTCCTCCTCCCTGCCTCCAGTTGTTGGAGCATAAGGAGACTTAGAAATCAGCAAACGTTTTGCAGCAAACAAAAATATCTTCCAACAAGTTGATGATATATATATATATATATAAGATGAACAAAGAAAAAGAAAACCAACTTTCTTGCTTTGATGAATCAATCTTTTCTCTCAACTCAACCACAAAAAAATGGAGTTACTATTCTATTTCTTCTCTTATTTGTCAATTTGACTGATCCGTTTGTGTTTCCACTAACAGGGCAAAGTACCTTGACTTTGGTTTTGCGTCATTCAAGCAAAATTCAGCAACTTGACAATGGAAAACCAAAAACAATAAAAAAATTGCCCGAAAGGATAACCAAAGTGCCTGTGCAAGGGTGAAATGTAAGTAGCACTTTAAATATTACTAAGACTCAGTCTTCGGATGTTTGGTTAAGGAAGTAACTCTGAGAGTTTCCTCGCGGGTTATTTAGACTGTCGGGTCAACTGCCGTGTCCCAAAAATATTAAAAAAGCTCAGTCAAACACAAATGCAATTAAATTTCAAGGACTTCACATCTAATTTGGCTTGGCAAAAACATCATGGAAAAAGACCTAAGCCCACGATCATATATTGCCCTTACTATCTAATAATCATATTAATATCGAAAATTAAAATTAAAAAAAAACATAAGAAAAGAAAGTGTTAGGTGGGAGATCACTGCCTGAAAATCAAATTATATAAAAGAAAAAAAATTTGTTCATGGGCTCGTTTTACTCGAGAGGTAATGCAATGGACTATGATGTCACAACCCTTTTTTGCATGATGAGAATTATATCTCATAAGATCTTTGACACTTCTTTTTGGATCATATCTTTACTCTTTTTTTTTGTTTTAATTTTAATTAATTCAAGGTGTACCCTTTTTTTTAATACTTGAGCTTGAAACCCTATCAACAGTCTTTTCGCACTTACGATATCATTGGCAGTTTTATTTCGTTGTGAAATTTGGTGGAAATATACGATATTTAAAGCTAAAAAAGAGGAGGGTGGGGGGGAAAGGGTAGCACATGCGAAACATTATGTCAGCCAAAGAAATGGGCATCCTAGAAATCGTGGGTTGGGACATATTCATGGAGATCCATG